CTTGCTACGCACCAGCGTATTTTTATGGACTTTACTGTGTCACTCATTTAATCCTGACAAGAGCCCTATGAGGTGGGTGTATCAGTTAGCTATGACTATAACAATGTTGCATAACAAACCACCCCAAAAGTCTGTGGCTTACAGAAGCAAATGTTGATTTCTCCCTGTTTCCTCTGCAGTCGTGTGGGGCTTGGCTGATCTCGGCTGGGCCCTGCTGGCCTTGGCTCCAGGTCAGGTCGTCTCCATTTGTCTTTCATTTTTCTGGACCAGCCTGTTTGATGCTGAGGATTTGGATAGCAGCCATGGCTTCCCTAAATTGACACAGAGCATTCTCCTCCTACATGTTTAGCTTCCCGTCATTCAAAAGACATAGAGTTCTTGAAAAAAAAAAAAACAATTTAAAATTTAATACAAACTAAATACCAAAGTACAAAAGTATTCTTAGCTCAGACTTTCCTACAGCGACTTTGCTTGGGCTCTGTTTCAAAAGATGTAATGGACCCATGACAGCCCTATGCTTATGGCAGAGGTGGAAATTCCAAGAAACACAGTTGAAAACATGAGAGACCTCTTAAGGCCTAGACTGGAACTTGCACATTGTCACTTTCTTCTACATTCCATTGGCCAAAGCAAATTACACAGCCAAGCCTAGTATCGATGGAGTAGGGAAGTACCCACCACCCTTGGTTGGAGGAGAGAGTGACAGTCACTGAACAGTAATCTAATTTGCCACAAGATATGTCATGCCGTATCCTTCTCTCTTCCTTCCTTCCTTCTTTCCTTTCTTTCTTTCTCACAGATGAGGAAACCAAGGCTCAGAGAGGTCAAGTAACTTGTCCAAGGTTACGCTGCTAGTAAATGACAGAACCAGAATTCAACCAAGTTGGGGGTCAAATTTATAAATACCGTGAACACCAGGCTGAAGGGTTTGGACTTTCCCTGAAGGCAGTGTAATGCCACTGAAAACTGTTGAGTAAGAAAGGAACATGGTGGTTAATAAATTTCCCTCCAGAGGAAGTGTGCTTGGGGAGAGGACAGGGGGGCGTGCCCAAGATAGTCACAGAACTTCAGGCCAGAATTGATAAGGGGCCGGACTGGCTGGGACAGTGTCAAAAAAGGAAGGAACAAAAAAACAGTAAAAGTAAAAACCAAATAGAAAAAGCCACAGATAAAAGACAAGTTGAAGGACGTTTTAAAAACAGTTTTTTCTTTATGGAGTGTTGAAATAAAAATTCAAACAGAAAAAATTCTTACAATGCAGACAGAAGTGTTTAAAGTGAAAGCTCCCTCCTCTTCCTCCCTTCAGAGATAAGCTTCATTAATAGTCTGTGGTACATGCTTCCTGACTTTTATCTAAAATGACGTAACACATATACATCTACCCATTTTTAATGTGTTTTTTAAATGTGTTGTGAGCAAACTTGTTTTGTCTCTTGCTTGTTATCACTTGACAGAATGACAGGGCCAGTTTTCCATGCCAGGACATTCGGTTGTTCTCATTTTTTTTAGCAGCTTTGCCACTTGCTAGCTGTGTGACCTTGTACAAGTCGTTTAACCTCTCTGAGACTTGGCGGGCTTAATCTCTAAATGGGAGTAAAAATGTACCTGCCACACAGGGCTGTTGTGAGGATTAAATGAGTTAACATATGTAAGGCATCTTGTGTAGCATCTGATACACACTAAGTGCTCAAAAAATATTAGCCCTCATTGTTAATAGCACCATGGTTACCTGTACTATAATTTATTCAACCAGTTAGATACATATGGTCACTTAGTGTGGGATGTTTTTTGCAGAGATGGTCACAACAATTCTGCCCATCCCTGTGCACGCGACTGTTTGCAATACGACTTGGATGGTTTTCCCATCAAGAAACAGAGTCTACTTCTACTGCCCTTGAACCTGAGCTGGCCATGTGATGGCTCCGATCAATAAAGCGCAGTGAAAGTGATGCTATAGCACTTCGGAGCCTAGGCCTGCTGCTTTTCTTCTTTTCCTTTTGGAGGCCACCAAGTGAGGAAGCCTGAGCTAGAAGAAGCCACATGGAGGAGAACTACAGCACTCCAGTCAACAGCCCCAGTCAATTGCCAGACCTGCACATGAGGCCGTATAGGGCCAGCCAGCTTGCTGACTTGCTAACTGGCTGCAAACACAGGAGTGAGCCCAGGCAAGCGCATGCGCAGCAGGAAAGAGCTGTCCCAGCTTAGACATGTCCAGACTGGCAATTCGCACAAACGTAAGCACATAAATCGTTGCTGGTTAAGCCACTCTGTTTTGGGGTGATTTGTTAAGCAGCAATAGAAAGCCGATACATTTAGGTTTAGTGCAGTGAGTATGACCCAGGTTGGAAGGCAAAGTCCATCTCTGGCATGTGACCTCAGGCATGTCCCGTAAGGCCCCTGAACCTCAGTTTCCTCATCTGTACAATGGGATGCTTTTACTTCCTACCTCATCAGGCTGACGCTAGGATTAAAGGAGATGATGAACGCTCAGTGTGTGGCACAGTACTGTCAACATCTTAATTGTGGTTGTTGTCGTGTTTGTTGTTTAAAGGAAGTCTAGCCTGAGAGTTGTGATGTGGGGGGTCAGGAAGAGCAAGTGTTAAAGATAACTAAACTGGTCTCTGAAGGCTCCATAACTAGAGAACATTGGAGAATGGGAGCTTCTTGGGATCAGAGACCTGTACTGGGCTGGCCTGGGAGATGGCGGGGGTTGGGTCTCAATTGTATCCTGCATAGTGGGGAGGGTTTTATGGGTGTGCCCGGGTGAGCCCTTGGAATGAGGTCACAGATGGAGGCTGAAACTGGGTGGAAGAATGAAGAACTGACACTGTAAGAGGGGCTGAGATCACAGGAAAGGTGGGGGCTAAGCCTTGGGAAATATCCTTACTCTTCTCAGATGAAATCCCAGACTCCTTACCATGACCTGAATGCCCTGCCTGCCTATTCCATCATATTTCCTGCTCTTTCCCCCTAGCTCACAGTGCTTCCGCCACCCTGGCCTCCTGCCTCACACTCACCAAGCTCTTTCCTGCCTTGGGACCTTTGTACTTACTGCTCCCTTGTCAGAGGGACCTTCTGAACTGCTCAAGCGAAAGTTCTCCCTGCTTTTGTTCTTTTTCATAGCTACTTATCTTTTTCCTTCATAGCACTTACTGCTACCTGAAATTACTTTGTTTATTCATTTGTTTACCTGCGCATTATTTGTTTCTCACTTTAGATGGTGAGCTCCATGAGGAACTGGTGTTTGTCTTGCTCACACCACATTCCCAGCACCTAACACAGTGTCTGGCTCATGACAAGTGATTAGCAGCTGTGAACTTAACAAACCTGAATGAAAGTGGGGAAAAAGGAGCCACGAGAGCTGAAAAGACATGGTCCAAAAGCTAAGAGGAAGGCCAGTCACTTCCTGGAAGAGAGCTTCACAGAAACCCTGGCGTCATCTTGTCTAACCTCCTCAGTCCACAGGTGGGGAAATCAAGACCCAAAGAGGAGGAATGACCAGCTTGAGGGTACCCTGAGAGCCATTTCTGTGGACTCCTAGCCCTTTGGGTCAAATACCACAGTTCTGTCTGGCAGAAGAGGCCCAGAAAAGGGGCACCTCCCTGAGGCCATCATCATATGTCTGAAGCTGCCATTGGGAGCAGAGGTGCCAGTCAGCTGACAAACTGGGAAAGAAGGGCTGGAGAGGGTGGGGAGGCCCATCCCTGGGCCAGGCAGCTATTCAGAGGCAGCTCAGGGATAATAACTTGTACCAAAATAACCCAGCCTCCTCACCCTCATTCCAACCCTCACACCTCTGCCTCACCAGAGGTGAGGCTAACATTCTCAGTCACACTTACGCACACCAGTTTTAGCAAAACCTGCGGGGGACAGGATGATCCTCAGACCCAGCCCTGTCCACTGGGGGTTCACAGTCTGATGGAGGAGGCAGGCTAGGGACCAGTCAGGCCGCTGAGTGATGGTGCTTAGGTCTGGGGGAGCTCAAGAGAAGGACGATCCCCAGAGGAAGAGATCTCTGGATTAGTTTCATGGACTTACAGAAGTTAGCCTGTCCAGGAGGTAATAGTAACAAGTAACCGCCAGTGCCAAGGGAAGGAGGCAACCCAGATAAATTGCAGGAATCATCTGCAGTTTTAGTGGACGAGAGCATCAGGTATTTGAAAGGGGTGGGACAGAATAGGGGGCTAGAAAGGGGCGGGATGTCCAAATTACATAGGAACTTGGATGTCACGAGAAGAGCTTGGGCGATCTTTGATGCTCAAAGGAGAGCCTTGGCGATTTTTAACCAAGAGGGCACATGATCAGGTTTGTACGGTAGAAAGTGCCGTGTAGCTGCTTTGGGGAGGTTGCCCGGGCTGGGGGCGGGGCGGGGGTGCAGATCCAAGGGAGGAAACCACTTTATTCAGGATAGTCAGCTCTGGATAGGACTCCTGTCAGAGGCAGGAATTGGGTCTGTCTCTAGAGGGCTAGTGTCGTCACTTCCTCGACTCCGGCGCCACACTACTCCCGGGATCCAGCTTTCGTTCGCTTGTTTCGGAACTCGAAGTTTGAGCAGAAAATACGTGCTGCTGGCACCCCAACCCTAAACGAGGCGCCCGAGCAGGGGACTCCAACTCCCAAAATGCTTCGCTCTACAGCTCTGCAGGTCGCGCATGCCTCTTTCAGGAAAGGCGGGCCGCCTCGCGGGCTGGTGACTCGCCGGTTCGGTGAAGTGCGGGAAACCCAGGGGCCGCCATCTTAGTTTGGGTCAAACCAATGGTACGCTTCGTGGGGGGACCATGTTCTCTCTCTCGTCAGTTCGTACAGGTACCGAAATAAAGTGCGCCTAATTATTGCAAGGCTCTTTATTATGGTTTACACTGAGGACTCCCTCCATTCTGCGTCCAGTACGGAACTGAACCTCCCGGCTACAATAGGACCCCCCAACATGGCGGCCCTCAGCGAGCGCCGCTGGGGGCGGGGTCGGAAGCCGTCCCGCCCCGCCCCCGGGCAGGAGGGGGGTTTCCGCTTCCGGCAGCGGCGGCTGCAGCCTCGCTCTGGACCCTGCGGCTGGCGGCCGAGCCGTGTGTCTCCTCCTCCGCCGCCGCCATATTGTCTGTGTGAGGAGAGGGGAGAGCGGCCGCCGCCGCCGCCACTTCCACCGCAGGTACCGTGGGAGCCGCCGGGCGAGGGCGTTGGGGGGCGGGGGAGAGCCCAGGATGGGGCGGCTGGGCGCGGCCGCCTCTTGCGCGTGCAGCTGACTCCCGAGCAGCCCGTCGCCTTCCCCTGCCCCCCCTCCACACACACATCAGCCGAGGCCCCTGCAGCCCATCGGGGAGGCCCGGGGCCACCCCCCGGGGCGGGGAGCGAGGCTTGGAGGCAGAGGCTGATGCGAGGGTGGGAACTGGCTCTCGGGAGCCCAGCTTATGGCGGAGGGGAGGGCTAGACCTGCGCGAGGACTAGGGGGCAACTTGGAGGAGGGGGTCGTCAGAGGGGGAAGGGAGCCTGAGGGGTGGGGCCGCAGGGGGATGCTGGAGGAGGGTGTGTAGGGAAGTGGTGCCTGCTGGGTAGGGTGGGGTGAAGCCTCCCGCTGAGCAGAGCAGCTGGAGGGGGGGCCTTCTAAGGGTCCCTCTGAGCGAGGCTGGGCTTGCCACCTGCAGACTGGGGTGCAAGGTGGAGGGAGCCCGGGGCGAGGTCGCTGGGGAGACAGGGGGAGGGGACCGTGAAGTGGGGCAGAACGAGTGGAGTTGGACTTAAGGGATAGTTGGAGCCTGGGTGGAAGAGGAGAGGTAAGTAGGATGGAAGGGTGGCTAAGAGTGTACGTGTTAGTAGGACTTTTATTTTGTTTTCGTCGTTGTTGTTATTGTCGTTGTTTGTTTTTTGCAGCGTTGGAACATTTCTAGCCTAGGCAGGTGATGGGTGGAGCTTCTGTAGTTTGTTTTTGGGAAGCAAAGTCAGGGTCAGGAGAGGTTGCTTCTTGGCTCTTGGTATTGTGGGAAGAACGAGTTCTGGAAAGGAAGGGGCAAATTAATTTGGGAAGACGATTGCCTTTCAGCTGCTAAATTTCGCCGAGAAAAGGGGGTGTGTGGAGGGGAAATGGAAAGAAAACTAGGAAGGAAAGATTTTTCTGAGAGTTGGAGACCCCATGCCATCTAAGGAGTGGCAGTATAGGCTAGGGGCAAAGAAACAGACTGTCTGAGCTCTCAAATATCAGTGCCACTACTACTTGGCTGTGTGACTTAACCACTCTAAACCTCAGTTTTCCTGTCTGTAAAATGGGGATGATAATATCCGAAGTCTATGGTGAGGGGTAAATTTGTGTCAAACCCTTACCTCAATGCCTGGCAGGTAGATCTTACTCGTCACTTTGTTAAAAGGACTAGTTGGTATATTTGGGGTATCTTCATTCCAGGTAAAATTTATGGTCGGGAATCTGACCATTGGCAGGGCTTCAGAATATTATCTTTGTAGTCATTGCGGTGCTTTGTTGTAAGTCACTTGGCTTAACTGGCTTGGTGGACCTTGGGCTGAAAGACCAAGACTGGTACTGGTTCTCTCTCGTGTTATTTTGAAGAGTTCACTTGCATTTTTACATGGGCAGGTTTGTCCTTCTGTGACTTTGAAAAACTTGGCTTTCATTTGCTATTGGGGGAGGGTGTATGACTTGAAGAAAGAATGAAAAGATTGGAAGTTTGCTTATGTTGATTTATCAACTGATTACAAAGTTAGATCACCCTGGGGCAACTTCTGTTTAAAAAAAAAATAAACCATGCCTAGTTATGTTCTCTTGTGTGGAATACAGTAAAGAAGAGAAGCACAAATTTTAGGGGGAGCAGTGGGTTAGTTTCTGCGTAATAGGTGAGCTGCCTTGCTGTTTGGGGATGAAACAAGTGGCAGGTTCTTTTCCACAATATATTTTTAGTTCTCCTGTTGCCTAGCCACTGTCTTCTAGCGTGAGTTCTTATTTTTTTATTTTTGTACTAGTGTCGCTATCTCCCAACATACACCTTTACTTCACATACCCATGGAGAAAGGGGAAATTTTCTTCAGGAACTGAGTTTAAAGCTGTACAAAGGGTTTGGGTTTGTAGTTAGGCAGAATGACCCCCACCCCCCCGCCAGATGTCCGCACTCTAATCCCCAGAATCCGTAAATATATTGCATGGTTAGAGGGCCTTTGCAGATGTAATTAGGGTTAAGAATCTTAAAATAGCAAGATTATCCTGGATTTTTTGGGTAAGCCCAGTCTAATCATGTGAGCCCTTAAAAGAAGAGAACTTTCTCCAGCTGGGAGTCTAGAGAGATGGGGCAGAAGAGGAAATCAGAGAGATTGGGATCATGAAAGGGACTTCATTTACCGTTGCTAGAAGGGGCAACATGGACTGCATGAGAAGGAATACAGGCAGCTTCTAGTAGCAGAGACCAGCACTGGCTAACAGCAAGGAAAGGAGAGCTCAGTCCTACAGCCACAAGGAACTGAATTTGGCCAACATCCTGAATGAGCTTGGAAGTGGGTTCTTCCCCAGAGTGTCCAGCAAGGAATGAATACACCTGATTTTGGCCTTGTGAGACCCAAAGCAGAAGGCTAGCCAAACCCACCCAACTTGTGACCTACAAGAACTGTGGGAGAATAGATTTCTCTTGTTTTAAGCCACTGCATTTGTGGTAATTTGTTGTGGCAGCAATAGAATACTAGTATAGGTTTTGGTACCATAAGTGTGGTACTGTTCCCCAAAGATGTGCAAGTGGCAGTGGATGGAGGCCCAAAAAATTTTGAGGAGCATGTTTTGAAAAGGCCTAGAACAGATCATTAGCAGAAATATGAATGTTAATGACTCTGTTAGTGAGGGCTTAGGTGGAAGTGAGGTATGCATTGGAAACTGGAGGAAAGATGATCTTTGTTACATAGTGGCAGATAAGCTTAGAATTGTGTCCTGTGGTTATGTGGAAAAGAGAACCTGTAAATGATGAACTTGGATGTTGAGCTGAGGAGATTTCAAGTGAAGTGTTGAAGCTGCAGCCTGGTTTATTTGTGGATATGAGTCTGACTGATGGAGTGAACCCCTGTGAAATTCCTGTGAAGCCCACTAGGTTCTTGAGGATTTTATACTCGCAAAAACGATGCCAGCTTGGATTGAAAGAGACAGAGTAGGGAGTTAGAGGGCTGTCGAACGCCTCCAGTTCTCCTGGCAGGAAGCAGGCTGGTGGAACTACTCAGGTGTGAATGTGCTGCTTTTCATTAAAAAGAAGGGTGATTCAGAGGATAGAACCAAGAGCCCAGAGAGGTGGAGCTGAAAGCCAGAGGATTTTTCCCTAGTTTTGAAATGGAGTGGAGTTTGCCCCGATTTTGAAACTGCTTTGGGCCGATAGATCTGTTTTATTTTACGTTTTCTCTGTTAGAACTGGAATACCCATAAATGTTGCCCTGTGCCTGTCCCACCGTTGTATGTTGGGAGCAGATAACTTGTTTTAGGACTTGTGCCCCAAGAGTTGTACTTGATGTGTTATATCCAGAGCCTCATTCACACCTGATTTAGATGAGATGATTTGGGACTTTTGAGTTGCTGAGCTTTAGATGAGATTTTTGGACTTTGAGTTGATGCTGTAATGGAGTGAGACCTTAGGATGGGATGGATGTATTTTGCATTTTGGAGAGATGGGAATCTTTGGAGGCCAGAGGGTAGGATATGGGAGGTAGAATGATCCCCCCCCAAAGATGTCTGTACCCTAATCTCTGTAATCTGAATATGTTAGCTTTTTGTGGCAAAGGGGACTTTGCAGATGTAATTATGGTTTAGGGATCCTAAAATACATTATCCTGGATTTTCTGGGTAGGTTCAATCTAATCATGTGAAAGCAGAGAATTTTCTCCAGCTGGAGTCAGAGAGATGGAGCAGGAGTAAGAGAGATTTGAAGCATGAGAGGGGCTCAACCTGCTGTTGCTGGAGGGGGCACATGGAAAGCGTGAGAGGAAATTCGGGCAGCCTCAGCTGACAGCCAGCAAGGAAGTGGGGACCTCAGTCCTACAGCCGCAAGGAATTAAGTTCAGCCAACAGTCTGAATGAGCTTGGAAGCAGATTTTCCCCTCAGAGTTTCCAGCAGGGAATACAGCCCCTATGGGCCCCTTTATTTTTCTTGCAAGACCCTAAGCAGAGGACCCAGCTAAGCCCACCTGACTTCTGGCCTATAGAAACTATGAGATAATAAATTTGTGTTGTTTCATGTTTGTGGTGATTTGTTAGGGCAACAAGAGGAGACTAATAGAGTTTTGCTGATTTTATTTAATAATCTTTGGGGGCTTATTGTCTAGAGGACAAAGGCCACAAAGATTATTGTGTAAAGTGATTTGGTCTTAGAAGACTTCACAGAATAATGATGTTGAGTGGAACCTATTCTTCCTTGGTATTTAAATATCCTGTCACTGTCCTTAGATGCAATCTGAAGGAGCTAGATGACCAGGTTGGTAAAATGTAGATTTTAGAGCTCTAGGCCATTTTGGTAGGATTTCTATAAATTGGTGATCCTTCCATGCCTATAATAAATGTCTTGGATAAATGGCATAATTTCTTCATTAATTTTTAGTGGCTGAATAAAGCGATGAGTTTATATGACACCTTTTAAAGTCTTATTTCCTGTTTTCTAGGGGAGATGGAAATGGGTGATATGTTTTTATGAATTGATAAACCACCTATATAGAAAGACCACTGTTCTTTCATATCTCCTACCCCAACCCAAAGTGGTAAAGTCTTTTCTCCCTGTTCTTGTCATTTAATGTTAACAATCAGATTTGGGAATCATAATTGCCAAATGGAGTTCTAGCTTTTAAGAAGACCTGTTTGTTTTTGTTCTTCAACAGTAGCCTGTTGATTAGATTCGTAAAATATGGACTCTCAGCCTTCGTATGGGGAACTTCAGAAGAGGAGGAAATGAGACACTTTGTTCTTGTTAGTTACCTGAATAGAAAGATGACTGTAAAATTAGAGCATTTCAAGGGATGAAGGACTTTTGAGATTATCTGTTTGACCTTTGGGTTTAGAGTAAAGGAAAGTGGGTCACATGAAGGTTAAGTGGTTCAACCAAGTATCTCAGCCCAGAATCCTGGTCCAGGCAATGGAGATTCATGGCTTTGGAACTATATTCCCTGTGCACTCCTGCCTTGCCCTTTTTT